GGATTTGCATGCATACACGGTTGTATGATCCATCATCAATGAAAGATGTGGTATGATTGAGCAATTGTCAGGTCTTACATGTTGTACAAACCAAAACACAATATACAGGCTGCAAATCAAAGGCTAAGGTAGGCTACAGTATGCTACTGACTGGCAGTGCTATTTTGGGGGTCCAAGTCCCATGATCAGTGAGGTTAGTTTAACCAAGTGAAAGTTCGTCAGTTGTCAAGGGATATGTGCACACTAGCGTGCTTCGACACGCCACAGGCAGGGCATGCTGCCGTGCGTGGCTCACAGGCTCGGCACAATGCCAAGTGCCTGCAGGGAAGAAGCACCACTGAGGCTTCGCCAAACTTGCAGGCCCGGCAGACGTGCTTCAAGCGAGTGTCATTCACAGCACGCTCGGACGGATTAGACTTCTGGCTCGGAACTGCAGGGGCAGATGAAAATCTGCTTGCAGGAAAAACACCAAAATCTGAACCCTTTTCGCAGATGGGCGCGGCGTCGCAAATAGAAACCGCATCCTCCGCAGAGCCCTCCCCCTGTCCCCCACACCCGCCTACTGCCACGTCATCACTGTCTCCCGAGCCTTCGCGAAATCGCTCCTGCTGAAGCTCATGCTGGGAGCTTTCAAGCGAACGCTGAAGAGAAGACACTGTACGTTGGGACGCGGTAAGCAGGTTGTGCGCTGAAGCGAGATTTGCTTGCAACGCGGATACTTGTTGCTCCAGCTCCGCCATTCGCCGCTTGCTGCCCGCAGCTTCTTCTACGGCCGCCGAAACGACCGCGCGCACTTGACCCGCAACCGCCTGCTGAATCAGCGCGGAAAGCGCGTCGTTGTCAAAACTGCGCGAAAGCATCGGGTATGAATGATCATGCGCCGACGATTGGTGACAGAACCCCGTTTGCTGCGACCGGTATAGAAAGTCCTCGTGAGTGCGGCCGCATGCGGCATGCGCGAATTCCTCGCAACGAGGACGCTTCAAACGAGGAAGGAAATCCTCAGCCTCAGGAACTGCTCTAAGGATCGGTGTGTGCGCAGAAGCATGTGCAATGTCGGTGGGTCCCAGATAGCACCCCGCTGCTGCGGACGACTCGACTGTAGAGTGCGACGAGAGATTAGGTAGTGACGGTGCGACGTCGCACGCCGCGTCGCATAGAGGCTGCGAAGACGGCGCTGTAGGCGAGAGGAGAGCTGTCGCGCACTCGCGAAGCAGGAGCTGGCGTCGAAGCTGCTGGCGCTGCTGTCGTTGCTGCTGCAGCAGCTGGTGCTGCTGCTGCCGCTCCTGCTCTTGCTGCTCCTGCATCAGCGCCAGGAGCAGATCGTTCAGGCCCGAATCGTCGGAGAAAGTGGAGCAGCCATGGTTCGACATGGCGGCGTCTCTGCTTCGTTTGCAACCAATAGATCTGCCGAGGAACTGCAACGGAAGTGTTGCGGCAACTGCCATGTTCGTCATGCTATCAAGTCTGATGAAATTGTGAGTGTGAAGTCAGATACGGGAAGCTTGATACGATTAGAGGAATGGAGTAGCGCCTAAATGTACCAGAAACTGAAGTGATCATCCTGCGAATTAGGAGTGTTCTTCATCAACACAAGAATAGTGTGTAGGAGCAGTCAAGTCCCATATTCTACCAGAAGGGCTGAAGTCCCCCCCGGAAAGCGGAGGGCAACCATTTGCACGGAATTTGGGGCAACAAAACAAATTAGCCCGCCTCGTTTGTCCGGCTCGGTTGAAATTGGGGCAACAGTTCACATCAGGACGGTTGTTACCGGAGGTGAAGCACACGGTGGATGGCGGGGACAATGCAAGGCGTGGCAGCAGCCAACCGGACAGCATGTGCGAATCAGGATCATGCCACACAACGCCAATTGATGCCTGTTTGAGCCCCTCCCGGTTGCCTTGTGAAGGGGGCGTATAAGCTGTAACGCGCACTTCGCATAGATTTCGTCAATTCGCAGCTAGCTAAAAAGGATTGAGCCCCTCTGTTACCTTATTTGACTTCAGTCTCTTCTGCTTGACCTCGGTCTGTTCGTTACTATTGGTTAACCACGTGACGCGCTTATAACGTGGGAGCAACAGACTGGGGCAACAACCTCGGGTGCAGCGTTTCCATCCGGCGCAAGGCAAATCCGCGTGCACTGGTTGGGCATCAATTGCCTGGCGTCATTTCGTCAAGTGCTTTTCCTGGCTGGTGTTCTTTGTTGGCGCCAACTACACTTGGCGAACTGTTGCCGTAGAAACCCCCAACCTTCTGTTTGCTAGTCATCACGACTGTTTTTCCAGAAAGTTTGCGCATGCCATGAATTAAGACATGTATGGAGCGCGACACGGCTGCTGTTTTGAGGCACGCGACGCGACTTGTTGCCGAAATGGGTCTCGTTTCACGCTGTCTCTGTTGTGAGATGATGCCCACAGCCGCTGGCTTCTGCGGATTTGATCTGATGAGTGGTGACGTGGATACATGAGTCGCTCGCAAGCTGACAATGACTGCAGTTTCTGAGGGACAACCAGTTTCTCAGAATGAAAGGATATTCTACACGCAATACAAAGCTACCTGGGTTTGGGCAACGGGTGATTTCAAACTTTTGCCGTTAGACATCAAACCTGTGCTGTACCCCTTGCAGATTCGAAGGGAAATTTCGTGCGAGTTTTTCGAGCCCACTGTGTGCACTCAGCAATCATTGTGACTAGGAAGAAACTGAGGGCGTGTTCAGTTTGTTCATTTCGGAGTTTTTAGTGCCAACACACGTCTCGAGGCTCAAAAATTTTCACTGTACCTATAAACGAATGCATTGTGAGTTGAGTCCCACCACCTGTAATTTCAGGAGCGCGGACACGTTCTCCGCCACACGAATCAACAAAGATCCGATCGGGCTCGAAACGAGGTAACGATTCCGCTAACGAATTTTTGTGCAGGCGGGGGGGGGGGGGGGGGGGGGGGGGGGGGTGCTGGCGACTGTAGCGAGTCACTGGCGAAATTGTGCAAGCGATACATGGGGCACTACTGTAGTGGCCAGGACGCGGTGCTGTACTCGTGACCCCGCTGATTCCAGTAACGTGAGTCAGACGACTCGAGGACACAGAACACGTTCAATGCAGTGTTACTACAAAAAACGTGGTAACTGAGCGGGCTTACGAACAGTAAATGTACGAGCTAGACACCTCCTGAAATCAAGAAAGGCGAAAAAGAGATGGAAAACAAATTCTGAATCAGAGAGGTCAGGGATGGAGCTCACAGTCACATTTGCCCGACCTAAATGTGTTTCATATATATTCCATTCGTGAATCGCCCGGATAGCTCGGCTTCAACACTCACCTCTAGGGAAGTGTGGATCCACACCACAGTCCAGAGAAACGCGTTGAGGCCAGAGAGTGTACAGTGTCCCGCTTAATGAATGACTACAGCGAACAGAACGTCGAAAACCTCATTAGGAGCTGCTGCGTACGGACGGATTACTGTACGCATAGGACCTTGCATTGGAAACAATTTCGTGTCGTGTCGGGCAATTACTTCCTTGCATGCAATCCATCTCAAACAATTTCCTTCGAGTTGACGGCACATCATCTGACCTCACCACCATTTCTGTTTGTCGAGGTGTCGCATTTCTGTTTTCTCAACCGACCCTCACCAGCCGCATGGCAGGACACGAGGGACAGGAGGACTCAAGTGCATGACCATGCCATCAGCCTGCAGAACACGAAAGGAAAGGACAGTTTCGGAGTGTCACTTGGAGGGAGGCAGTTTTCTGGCAGCAATGGCAGGGAAATAAATGGATCCACTTCGTCAGCTGCACGAATTTATCTTCATGAATGACTGCACCGCAGGCATCCAGCAGCGCTGTTATCCACACGTAAGTATCTTCTCCAGGTCGTGCAGGCGTTTCCGTACAGGTACATTCTATTCTGTGGCTCTTACGTCGAGCTACATTACGAATTTCTGCGAATTAAGATTCGAGGATTTGCGTAGATTCTAACAAGGCAAATGCAGTTTGAGATATTTCAATTCACCCATACTCGGTCCACTTACGGTCTTCTCCTAGCTGAGAACACGTTTCTATTTTATGAGACAACCGCAAAAAAAGTGTACTGCTTGGCGTGTCGATGACAGCTTTCTAGATTTTCCTTTGAGGCAAGTGGTAGTTTTCGTTCGTGCTTGGTGTCATGCTGAGCTGGGTGGTGGGTTCGCCAAGGAACCCACACCAGCCCGAGGAGCCGATCTACCCAGCATTCTCACATGTTTTTTGAAACCAATTCATTATCAAAAACTGTTTTGACAGTCTAGCCTGGGTGGTCGAGCGCAATGCTCGTGCTCTGAGTGTTTTTTTTTTTTTTTTTGTCTAAAATAGGTGTGAATCAGACGGATCTCACATTCCTTGGTTAATTTGTACCCAGAAGCCACGATCATATGAAGGTGTTTAGAATTTCAAACAAACTTGAATTGCGTAGACCTTACTTCCCAGTGTTGCTCGCGGCGGATTCTCAACAAGGAAATCTCGAGATTGACGATCGCAACAGAGAAACAGATCTACAGTGCTGTAACCGCATGGTTATACAGTGGCCACTCCCTCCCCAGTTGACCCACACCGACCTGCTGCTGTATCCTGCCAGCTATGAATGCATTTGTGAGCGCCCCATTTGAAGGCCAGCGCAGCAAGATGCCATCATCAATCCTTGGTCACCTCCCGTGACATGCAACAGTTTTTGAAAGAACAACAAACGTCACATCTCTTGCGAGCCACTGCATTGCTGTCCTTCGCAGAACTTGAACGGAAGGCCAGTCTTTTGCCATAACGAGGAACTGTTATGGTATGATACAATGACACCGTTTAAATGTTAAGACATAGCATGCACGATGAGAATCAACTTCTTCTATTTCCACAACACTTATACGTGCAATTTGTTCAATGTAGGGTCAAATATTAGCGGGGATATCCTTATTGCTTTATAAACGTTTAGTGCAACATCTGCGTACCATGGATTATCCCACAAAAGAGACGTTTAACAATTTACTTCATCTGTACCCTCCAGAACTTCAACCAGCGCTTGTGCTTTCGCCTTAGCTCTCCCCGAGCAAACATCACTTTGTAACAACTCCTCCAAAGCTGACAAAACCCCTTCCTCGACCATCCTCCTCCCCAGCTCCTCCCCATCCTCCTCCTCGTCCACACCCCCACTATCCCCCTCACCACCTCCCCTCAAATGCCCCCCAGTTGCCAGCAGCAGCAGGGTCATAATAGCGTCCTCTTGAGCCCTCGGGGAGCCACTAGCAACAACACCAACCAACACTGCAATCGCATCACCCACACCACCACCAGTAGCACCATTTCTACCACTGCCACCACTGCCACCATTGCCACTCCCACCACTAGTACCACCGCTGACCCAGCCTTTTCCATCTGCTATTACAAGCCTAGCGCGGCCTTCTTTCAACCGGCAGATATTAGCCAGCACCGCCATTGCTTTCTCTTCTAACCCTGACTCTTTATAAGCAAGCACCGCTAAAAGCACCTCCACCGCACCCGCTTGAACTAACTCCAGCGCGCCTTTAGCGTCTCTTGATACATTAAATAACACGAGTGCAGAGTCTTTTCTCCCTCTAGTGGACCCCGTTTTAAGCACATCCAGCAGCAGCGGCACCGCCCCGCTCTCCCTAACCTCCATAAGAAGCGACTCGCTTACCGACAGAGTGAACAGCGCTGCTGCTGCGCCTTCTTTTGAAGCTACAGTGCCGCTTTGGAGTAAACTCACTAGCTGCTTCACCCCATTGCATGCTGCTATCTCCACAGCCACCCCTTTCACTAGAGACACCAGCAGCAGGCACGAAACTGCATGCTCCTGCGTTTTCGCATCAGAGGCAGAGAGCAGATCCACAATGAGCTGCAATCCACCGCACTCTACCGTGATGTCCTTCGCCAGAGGCTGCTTCCTAAGAAGCGACCGGAGAGACGACACAGCTTCCCTTAGCTGGCGGTCAGAAGACGACGAGGGCTTGTTGAACTGAGAAGAAGAGGAGGAGGAGGAGGTGGAGGCGGAGGCGGAGGAGGAGGCGGAGGCGGAGCGGATAGTTGCAAGCAACTCCCAAACCTCATCTGATGTGTCAGCGGCGACAGAAGCACCAGCAGAACCTCTGGAGGCTGCTGCTGCTGCCGCCCCAGTCGCATCCGGCTGCTGCCGCTGCTGGTGGTGCTGGGAGCGCTGGGGAGAATCCGGGTGCTCCTTTTTCCTCGACCAGTCTGGCAACACTCCCCCTAGAGGGCTTAGAGGCCAACGCTCCCTCCCCACTCTGCCCCCTCCACTTGCCTCTCCCGCCCCTCCTCCTCCCCCAGATCCTCCCCCTGCCCCTCCCCCTGCCCCTGCCCCTGCCCCAGCACCTGCGCCTCCTCCTACTCCTCCCCCTCCCCTCATCGCATCCAGCAGACCCAGCACGTTCCCTGCGCTTCCAGTCTTTCGCCCAAGCCCTCCCCTCCCCCCGTCCGCCCCTGCGCCCACCCCTTTTGACCCCGGCCCCACCCCACTCCCCCCCGACCCGCTTCCCCTCACCCACCCTCTCCTCCCCCCTTCCCCAAAGCCCCCCCCTCCCCCCCAACCACCACCACCGCGGGGGCTCCGCGCATCAAGAAAAACGATCCCCCTGGGGCTCCTCACTTCCAGCGATCCGCTGCTTCCGCTCCCCCCTCCGCTCCCCCCTCCCCCTCCGCCCCCCCCTGCGCCTCCGCCCCCTCCAGGGACCCTAGGGCTGGGGAAATCCATGGGGCCTCCGCTGCTGAACCCGCTGCTGCTGTCACTGCTGCTGCCGGGGCTGAGAGGCCCCAGGAAGAGGCGGGAGGTGCGCTCCTGCGCGGAAGTTTCCGGGGGACTCGTGATGGCTGTAGCGCCGGCTGTAGCGGCTGTAGTATTCAAGGCTGCAGCAGAAGAAGAGGAGCCACGTGGAGGGTACGTGCTCGCGAGGCCTATCAACTCCACTGCCGAACCTCCCGTGCTGCTGGATTTCTTAACCCCTGCTGCTCCTGCTGCTCCTGATGCTGCTGCTGCTGCTGCTGCTGCTGGTGCCTTTTGGGGGGAATTGCTGGCGCCAACACCGCCAACAGCAGCAGCAGCAGCAGCAGCAGCAGCAGAAACAGTCCCGGCAGCAGCAGTACCAGCAGAAGCAACAGCTGCAGATGCGCCACGCAGCCGCCCCTGCACCTGCTGCTGCACCTGCTGCTGCACCTGCTGCCCTCCCTGCACCACTTTACCCATCCCCGCTTTAAGCTGCCTCACCACCTCGTGAAACGACTGCCCTAACGGATCATCCAATGAGGAGGACGCAGGAGCCACAGTGGAGACTCTGCGTAACCCGTCTCCTACTGTAGCGCCCGCCTTTTTGAGACCTCCGCCAATCGCCTTGCCAAATCCAGCAGCCATGTTCATGGGGTTACCCATCCCTCCTCCCCCACCTCTCGCTCCCCCTGCTGTCCCGCCTCCCCCTCCCGTTCCCCCTCCCGCTCCGCCTCCGCCTCCCCCTCCGCCGCCTACCCTACTACCTCCGGTTTTTGATAGCCCTGAGCCCTGCCCCTGCCCCTGCCCCTGCCCCTGCCCCTGCCCCTGCCCCTGCCCCTGCCCCTGCCCCTGCCCCTGCCCCTGCCCCTGCCCCTGCCCCTGCCCTTGCCCCTGCCCTGGCTGTCTGCTGCTGCCGCCGCTGCTGCTGCCACTATGCCCTGCGCTCCTACCCCTGCTGCTTGTATCGAAATCAAACTCGTCGTCCTCGCTATAAGCCCCCCGCTTCACAAACTCAAACGATTTCGGCTTTAACTGCTGCCTGCCGCCACTGCCTCTAGCGCCTGTACCTGTATCGAATTCATCATCCTCGTTATGAGCTCCCCTCGATTCAAACTCAAAAGACTTGTGCTTTCTCTGAGACACCTGCTGAGTCTGAACCCTAGAACTGCCAGGGTTGCTCCCTCCTACCATCCCTCCCAACCGCACTCCACCGCCGCTCATAACCCTCCCAGAACTCCCCACCCCATCTGACCTCGCGCTCTTCCCTTCCCCGTGGAAACTTTCTAGGGCAGCCAAAAAATCATTCTGCCCGGCGCCTCCATCCCCCATGCCCCCTCTTCCGGGCCTCAGGTTTTGCGGCTGTAATGACCCCCCCCGAAGTAGCCCCCCCGCCCCCCGAGCCCCGCCCACACCGCCGCCCAAACCTCCGCCCGCCCCACCTCCCCTACTTTCCCCGCGCGCCAGCTGCGCCGTCCGCGCGGGGTTCTGGGCCGTGCTTCTATTGAGCGGGCTTTTAGCGAAATCCCTCGCCAGAGCAGCGCCTCCGCCTCCGCCTACGCGACCGCTGCCCCCCGCTTCCCCCCCCGCAGACACCCCATCCACCCGCGCGCTCCCCCCTGCCTCACGCCCGCTCGCCCTCCCGCTGCCCGATTTTTCCAGCAGGACGCTATCAAGTACGTCGTGGAACGCTGTGATTGGCTGGCGCGCGGATGACGTGTCTCCGGGCTGCAGGGAGATGGTTCGGCGGAGCCCTTCCCCCAATCCTCCGCCAGCAGTTGCGCCACCTGGAATTCCGCCGAGACCTCCCCCAGGGCCTCCCCCCGCCGCCCCCGCTCTTGGGTTCCCCGCGCGGCCTCCGCGCATGGGGGAGAGCGCGTGCGCCATGCCCTTTAGGGCGGACCGGGCAAGGCCTCCGCCGCCGCCACCACCACCGCTCTGTCCCTGCTGCTGCTGCCGAAGGTTCGCGAAAGCTAGGTCGTCGGATGCACTCCAAGATTCAGATCCTACGGTTCTCCTGCCTCCTCCTGCAAAATCCCTCACTCCTGACTGGTCGAAACTGAAGGTCACATGCCCCTGCGGCGGCTGCTGCTGTGGCGCGAGTCTTCGTCTATCCTCGATATCGTCCTCCCCGTCATCCGATAAGAACATGTCCAGTATCGCGGTTTTCGATTCCACAGAATGCGTTCGCCGCAAACCCGCTCTGCCATCGCGGTTGCGCGCAAGCCCCCCTCCGCCAATGCCTCCCCCTAACCCGCCCAGGCGCACGTTCCCCTGCCCCGCTGTTCCGCCTAACTCGGTTCCCCCCTGCCCCTTCCGCCAGCTGGGCGCGCCTTCCATCCGTACAACTGCGCCTACGCCTTCCCCCGCGCTGGACACGCGCATCACTCCCCCCACCCCTTCCGCTCCGCCACCCCGCCCAAACCCGGTAAAAGCTCCAGGCGGGGGAGTGCGGGAGCGGAGATCAAACGGCGGGTTGTTTCTGGGCGACTGGGGAATCCGCGCTCCGCCTCTGGCGGTGGGAGTTGCGCTTGCGCTTCCGGCTCCCCGCCCTCGAGGAGAGCGCAACACAGGCCTCTCGCCGTTCCGCGCGCCCCTGGCGCTACTATTGCGCCCTTCATCCTCGCTCATTCCGCCTTCCGACCAAAACCCGCTCCCCCTTCCGCGCGCGCTGCCGCTTCCTCCATCGCCTCCCCCGGAACTTGCCGGAATTCCGGCAGACGACGGTCCGAAATCGGCTCCAGGGACCAAAGTAGTGACTAAACCGGGTGTGACCCCGTTTCTGTCACACCAAGAGGAAATCAGATCCCTTAAAGCCTGATTCGATAAAAGGTGCGTGTGCTCTAGTCGATCGCCAGTTTTCGGGCAGGTCGTGTGACCTTCGTCGAACCATCGTTGGATAGCTGCACGTTCGTACGTCTGACCAGATGCAACGATTGCTGGATCGGACATGAGTTGTAACGACAGCGGGCAAACGAACTCCGGCGGAACTTCCAGATGCGTTTCAACTGCCTCAGCTGCAGCAGCGGCTGCAGCGGCAGCCGCTGCCGCAGCACGTTTCAACACGAACGAGTCTGACGGAAGGAGGATCTTCATGCTCGGCCGGTTAGGTGGACGGCCGGCACGCCCGTCACTCCCTTTCACCACCGGCATCCCTAACGGCGACGTTAAAAACTTAATTTAAGTGCTAATAGCTGATAATTCTGGGAGCATGGATTAGTGGAGTTGGTGGTGGTCCGATTCTTGACAGACTCGACATGTGGTGCGCATCTAGCAGGAAACCCTAATTTTACTTTCTGCCGCATGCATGTGCAGAAAATTGCTGCTTGCTCGCTCGCCAAAACATGCTTGTTGCAGATCCTGTCAGGCGTGCAAATACATACAAGGACGACCGCGGACTGTTGTGGTGGTGTTTGCTTGCATGGCGGAAGAGGGGGAACCATGAGCGACCGCGAGTAAGGCTGCGTTCCATGTCGTCGCGAACAAGGCACTTTCGAAGTTACAGCTGCTCTACACAACAATGTGAGTGCGACAATGTGCGACCGTTATGTCGGTCGTCGTCAACCTCTTGCGCGCCGTTTCAGTTCGCACACCTTTTCAACGCTCAATCCTATTGGTCCCAAAGAATACTGGCTTACCGACGAAGCATGTTCCGACCTTGCTGAGAACAGTTCTGAGGACATTGAGTGTGTGCGAGTGCGACGTTTTCAACTTGCCTGAAAACGGTTTCTTCAGCGGACATCAAGTGTGTGCGACGTCTATCGTTGTTCAACAGTACAGTAGTTGCATTTATATAGGCTCGTTTGACGTGGTTGTATACGGTGAACTACGTTTAGGCGCGGCTCTCGTCTTTCACCGCATTAGACCACTGCGCACCAGGATGAACCATTCAAAACGAACCTGGAACAAAAAAGTAAGACCCGCCCCACCAAGTCGGGAATGGGCCCGATCTGTGGCACTAGAGGGCAACTGTGATTGGCAGCGACTGAGGCGGACAGCAGCGACAAAAGAAGAGGCGTGCGGGGAGAATGAATGGCGGGGAAGAGTGAAGCGAATAGCGCAGAACAGCGCAAATGGCGTAGATGTCGCGCGAATGGAGTGCGAAGAAGGCGGGAGAACTGGTGAGGGGTAAAGAGAAGCGCAGCGCAAGTTTCAAGATCGGGTCAGGAGAATCTTCTTTGGGTCTTTGGCTTGGTGGGACTCTTGGGAGCTCTGGTTCGGTTCTCCCAACATCCAGGTTTGGGCTGGTAACAACCAGGAGTTTCGGACCGAGGCTGGAGGAGGAAGAACCACCTCAAAACCGCTGGGCGTGAGCCTGTCAAGGTTCGAATCGGTTCGAAGGCATGAAGGTATTCGATAGATGTTCACCTGGCTTTCGAAGAGGAACAAAAGAAATACACTACGAGGAAGGGTCGATTTCTCGAGAGAGAATCCCTGTGACCCATAGTCTCTGGATTGTTTTGGAGCTACTTTTAGTTTTTATGGTATAAGGGATTCACATTATGTGCTTTGTACAGGACATTGGTTATGAGCCATGCACACTATCCCCTCCCCTTTCCAGAGTTTCTTTCTAATAAGATAAAAGATTCTTCACTCTTGCTACACTTTCCAATGAACATTACAAGAGCCACTTGGAAGGAAATCAATGTTGCATAGAGAACCAGTCCCTGATGCTCCCATCATCTCATGTTCAACTGCCCTACAGGACAACGCAGCATCACATTTCACCCCCATGTTTCCGCCACCTGATATTGATGGCCCTGTGCATTCAGCTCCTCGGAAGTGCTCAATAACTGCCTTTGCAGCAAATCCCATAACCATTCTTACCCGATAGTGCTATTTACAAAAGCGGCTACGAGCAAGGCATCAACCTGTACAACACAAGCACATATTTACACTGACATGTCAATTGTCTTTCTCCCACGAATCCAATCTCTACAGCTCGCCCACAATGCCCTCAACCCTGCTGCTGACTCCCCTGCTGCCCACTCCCCTGCTGCTCATCCCCTGCTGCTCATCCCCTGCTGCCCACCCCCCTGCTGCTCATCGTCGTGGTTATAACCAGTTGTCCCATCCTCATGCTGTTGCTGTGTCATTGCAATTCCCCTCCTCATCATGCGTGCTCCCCTCACCATACGTGCTCCCCTCACCATGTGTGCTGCCCTCACCATGCGTGCTCCCCTCACCATGTGTGCTCCCCTCACCATGCGTGCTGCCCTCACCATGCGTGCTCCCCTCACCATGCGTGCTCCCCTCACCATGCGTGCTGCCCTCGTTGGTCTCGTGTAAGCACCCTCCCTCTTCCTTATTTGCCCCTGTCTTCCCCTCTCATCACCCCCATCACCATACCCTTACCCTCTTCACCATGCTTACCCCTCCCCTCCTCCCCCCTCTCTGCCTGCCTCTTCTCTCTGCGTCACTTCTCTACTCGAGCCAAAACTGGGTTCTTGACACGGAACTGCCTCTTCTCTACTCCCCTGCATGCTCCTACCCCCTTCCACCTGAACCAGAACCGGGCTTCAGAAGTAGTAAAATCCCTGCCTCCACACTCCTCCCGTGCTCTTTCCAGCAAGATCGTTTCAGATTGGACTCAAACCAGCCTTCACGCTCCTCCTGAGTTGCCCCTGAGCCAGATCCGCCTCCAGGGGTCTGGGAACTAGTTTTGAGGCGCCTCAAGAAGACCGGCCTTCGCGCCCCTCCCAAGTTCCTCCCCCCTGAGCCAGATCCGCCTCCAGGGGTCTGGACACAGTTCTCGATGGCAGATACCCTCGTGATTTTCGATGCACCTCAGAAACTGCTTCCAGGCTTACATTCCACTCACCAGGACTCTTGCAATGAGGAGTCTTGACGAGTCAAGAATACGCCACTCCTCTCAAGAATCGCCCCTAGGGATGCATTCCCATTCGCCACTCCCCACCTCTCCTGTTAGCCTCCCAGTTCCTTCGATCATTTCTGAATCCCCATCTCCTTTCCTCCCTGTCCCCCCCTCATCTCTTTCCTCTGTCTCTTCCTTTTTCTCCTCCGCTTTCATCAGTGCCCTCTTCCCCGTCTCCTTCTTCTCCTCCCTCTCCTCCCTCTCCTTCCTCTCCTCCCCCTCCTCTCTCACCCCCCTCCCCTCCCTCTCCTTTAACTCCCCCTTCTCCCCCCTCTCCTGCTTCTCCCCCTCCCCCCTCTCCCCCATCTCCTCCCTCTCCCCCCTCTCACCCTGCTTCTCCCCAATGCTACCCTCCCGCTCGTTTGCCGTGACTGGTTGAAAGGCAATAGAAGAAAGGTCATCAGGTGGGGGTGCTATTTGAGGCGCCTCAACAATCACTTCAGGCCAACCTCCTCCCTCGTTGGACTTAACCGGCTCGCCAACCTTTGGAAAGAGGTCATGAGGGGATGGTGGATTCTGGGAAGGCTGAGAGGAAAGTGGAGGCGGGGGGGAATGACCATGCGCAGGCGGAGGGGGGGGCGGACGGAAAGAGGAGGACGCTTGAGCATCCGCAAAGGGGGGAGGATTGGCGGGAGGAGGAGAAGGAGGAAGAGGAGGAGGAGGAGGAGGAGGAGGAGGAGGAGGAGGAGGAGGAGGAGGAGGAGGAGGAGGAGGAGGAGGAGCGTAGTGGTGGAAAGATGGAGGGGAGAAGTAATGATGTTGATAAGGGTGGTGGTGGGGAAAGGGGTCGTAAGAAGGGTGAGGGTGGTGAGGGGGGGGGACGAGAGGGTGAGGAGAGGGGGGGTCGTGAGGAGGAGGATGGTGTGGGGGAGGTTGGTGAGGAGGGGGTTGATGCGTTGGAGGGTGGTGAGGGTCTGGGTGGTGGGGGGGAGGAGGGTAATGCGGAGGGGAAGGGTGATGCGGGGGAGGGTGGTGAGGAGGAGGGTGGTGAGGAGGGGGAGGGTGATGGGGAGGGGGAGGGTGATGGGGAGGGGGAGGGTGATGAGGAGGGGGAGGGTGACGGGGAGGGGGAGGGTGATGAGGAGGGGGAGGGTGATAGGGAGGGGGAGGAGCAGGAGGAGCAGGAGAGCCGTCACCCTCTTGCTTCAGAAACTCAGGGTCCAGAGCGTGAGGCGAGTGCAGAGAGGCCAGCGGCGGAGGAGGAAGCGGGGGAGAAGGCGAAGACGCAGCAGCGGGCACAGGCAGGTGCGGAGCTGAAGCTGCTGCACCAGCAGACGCCTTCTGACTCGAGTCAAAACGCCCGTGCTGCTGACCTGAAGCTGCTGCTGCTGGTGGACCAGCTGCACCTGCAGGGACTACTAAAGCCACTCCCCCAGCTGTTTCCATTGCTGGCACACCCTCTCCTGCTAGACCCACTCCTGCAGCAGCCCCGCCAATCTCTCCAGGCCCTCCAATCCCTCCACTCCCCCCAGATTCTCCAATCCCCCCAGTCCCTCCAATCCCCTCAGTCCGAGGCAGGAAGAGCAACAGGGACTCTGACAAGTCAAGAAGCGCCGACTCCAGATTGCCTGCAGTTTCTGCTGCCTCGCCAGCCACCACATCCTCCCAGCTGCCCTCCTCTTCGCCAGAGCTGGTAACCTGCCTCGCAGCATGGCTTGGAACTTCGCCGGTCTCACGGCTAGTAACATGGCTGGAACTGAAACTCGTTTGGTTTACACTCCCTCCTGCACTAGCAGCGCTCCCACCCCCAACCGTCTTCTGCCCACTCCCATCTTTGCCACGCTTCTGCTGAGCTCGATGCTGCTGCTGCTGCTGCTGCTGCAGCGGCACTAGCGGCTGCTGATACGGCTGCAGCTGAGTCGTCTGCCACATGCTCCGTTCAACAGCAAAGCGGTACACCCGAGACAGATTCGCCACAACACGAGACACACGGGCTCCTGATGACGACCCCTCTGATCCCACCCCCCAAAGCTCCAGCCTTCCCCCGCTGTCGTCCATCACCACCAAAGGCACTCCTGACTCGATACTGGCTGACTCGTTAGTAGCTGGTCCGAAATCCAGTGGCTCGAAATTTGAAGGTTGAACATTCGCAGCTGACTGGATATTCGCGGTAGGCTGAGCAGGTGCGCCGGGACTAACGGTTGGATCTGGGAACGCAGGTGGAGGCTGGCTGGCGCTTGAAGCGGGGGTTGACAAGGCTGCAGAAGCGGACAGGGCTGAAGGGACCGATTGAGGATTTGGACGGATGCTGTGTTGTTCTCGTTCCTTCCGCTTAGGATGTTTCTCCTGCCGGTGTTGGGAGCGAAGGACTGGGTCAAGCTTTGCTCCTGGTGATTCTTGTTGTTGCTGCTGCTGCTGCTGCTGCTGCTGCTGCTGCTGCACAGGTGGCGGCGTTAAGTGCTCAGCTGGCGTGTCTGATCCGTCATTCTCGTGTGATGCACCTGGAAAACAATCAGGAAACAAGGCATCGAAGCTTGCTTCAGTGCTACTATAAGACTCAGGAGAGATAGGCTTATGCAATGAATAAGATACGGAACCTGGACATGCATGCGCTGACTTTCCTTAATGAAAGCAGAAACATTACCGACTGCATCTTGAGCAGCAGAACCTGGTTCCGACAAAATTCCAGAAGCTTCTGAGTCGGATTTGGCTGGATCTGACTGTATTTGACTCGAGCTGACACTGGCATGCTGTGGTGCCACGTCAGATTCTAGTGAAGCTGGCTCTGTTCACACACCAACAAAGCACGAGAAGGGAAACCACACAAAATTCAATACAACGATACATTGTATTGAAACAGATCGACGCATTAAGTCTTAACAGGAGATTTGAAGGAACGAAAGGAGAGAAAACAAGAACAAGCTAACGAGTGTCAAAGTCGTATGGAGGGATATTCAACACAGGAACGCGAAAAAACGGGCCTAATTTATACATGGAGGAACCAGAAAACCGTTTTCGCAAAAACGGACAAAAATCAGGAAGGAAAGGAAGCTTGCCTTCGGGGCTGGATCTGAGACCAAACGACGGCATCCTTAAATTCAACAAATCGACGGACTGTGTGGCACGGGTCTGGAGCTTTCAGAAACCCATTACTTGGAGGAACAACAGCTCTAGGCTGTCTAGTGGAGATAAATTCTAAAGATTTGGCAATAACCCAGCAGACGGGTTTCCGCGGTAGTCTAAATATCAGGGTGCCGCATTAGCCAGCAGATTACACGGTAGCCTTTCCAGAGAGGATGTCGCAATAACCTAGCTAACGGAAATTCATTAGCCTAGTACAGGACTCCACTAAGGTCTCTAGCTGACAACATTTCCTATCACTGAAAGTGAAGGCTTGGATTTCTTTTTCCTCAAGCAGGCAGCCTATGACCTCTCGGACCATCTGGGGGGAGGGAGCTGACGACTAGCGAATGATCGTTAGCTAGCGTGGCGAGAGCTGACAATCGCAGCGAAGAGCCAGTTCTTGTGTCGAACGAGCCCAGATTCTGTCGCTTCGGTAACCAGGCTGACATTTGATGGGAGTCGTGAGGAGGACCACTTGACGTGTCAGTGACGCCATTTCGACCCGCGAAATGGCTAGTGCCCCATTCAGTGAGTTTGCGAGACATCCCTGCCACCACTTCGGAACCATCCCAACCCAAAGCAACCTCTCGTATATCAAACCTTGAGAACTTCGCGAAGGTCCCAGCGGTCCGCTTCGGCAGCAAATGGTCGTTACCAAAAGCACCCCTGGCGATGCAAGGCATGTCAAAATCTCACTTACATGGAATCGAAAGTGGTGTTGCACGTTCTAGCACGCTTAACGTAATCTCTAAATTGGTTGAGTGGAATTACGAGGTATTATGTTTTTTCAGCACCCTAAATCTGTTCCCCTCACTTTTCTGCTCTCTTGACTAGATTATAGCTTCTCGCATCCTCTCACACAGCGACTCCACGTCTCTCTGCTGCCGCTTGTTGCTAACCAGACTTGACTTGACAGCCGAGTTAGTCTGACGAGATTCACGTGATTGACAAAAATCTTAACTTCGTTCCGAATGTAGGGTCAGGTGCCGTATCCATGGTTTGTGAACTGCTACCGGTTCCAGCATAGATGGTACCTCGGAACGATTATGAAGAATGGTGTGGGAGTGCGAACACAGTTTTGCCAAATGAAATAGCAGCACCCGTATCTCCATTCTTTAATCCGCTCTACGTAGGATCATCAACTGAAGCCGTTCCCATCCATTGGCGTCAAGAACCGTACTCCCAACCGGACTCCACCGCACGGTACCCGAATCCTTCACTTACCCCAGTTGTACCACCCTCCGCTGACGTCACCATGGTTGAAGAATCTCAACGGCGTCTTCCGACAGCTGCAGTCCCGGCTGCTCGCAACGAGAGACCAGATGGGAACGATAGTGGTGGTTCTGTCAACAGGTCGGATAGGAACGCGTGTAGAAACATGGACATTGACGACCATGCCATTGCTGCTGCTCTGCAGGAGGAGTATGCAGCAGCAGAAGCGAGATCGTCACTTCACCAGGACCGTAGCGTCCCGCCAGAGCCAGTTTCCGACGATCACGCCATAGCAGCAGCGCAACAGGAGGGGTACCTTGCAGGGAAAATGAAGGGGACGAGTATAGATGCTGAATCTCAGTTGTCGTCTCAACCTGAAGCTCTTGTAGCAGAATCAGACGATCGCGCTATAGCAGCAGCGCTACAGGAGGAGGAGGAGCACCTTGCAAAGGAAACAAAGGGGAAGAGCAGAGGAAAGTCTGCATCTCAGCCGTCGATCCAAACAGAATCTCTCGCAGCTGATTCGGATGATCACGCCATAGCAGCAGCGCTACAGGAGGAGTTTCTCAAGGAAGCCGAATCCGAAGCAGCAGGTTCGGGTGCTGCAGGTTCGGGTTCATGGTTGGGAGGCGCGGAGGATTGGCTCCGCGGGCTGTTCCCAACCCTGCCTGGGCGCGGAGAAGGCGGGACAGGGAGACTGTCCAGGGGGGATGCACCTGGACATGGGAGGGCTGGCAAGGGCTTGTCCCCTGCTGCCCGGCGAAATTCGCCTGGGGCAGGAAATTTGCTGCAAGGAAGAGGGAATTCGCCAGCAAGGGGACTTTCGCCAGCAAAGGGGATTTCGCCAAAGGGGGTTTCGCCAAGGGGGGTATCACCAAAGGGGGTTTCGCCAGCGCGAGGATTTTCGCCAGCAAAGGGGTTTCAGGCAGGCAAAGGCCGATCACCAGTTAGGGGAGTTTCACCCATGCGGTGGCTATCTCCCGTGGTGCGGGCACGGGAACCAGAGAGGCAGGATGCAGCCAGGGATCCCGCAGCACCAGCAGCAGCTGCCACAGCTGCAGCAGCAGGACCAGCAGCAGCAGCAGCAGCTCCAGCAGCAGCAGCAGCAGTCGCAGCAGTTGCAAAAGGACCAGCAGTGGCAGCAGTAGCAGCAGGGCAGGCAGCGGTGGCCCATTCGCTTGCTGAGCCAAATGTGTTATCCAGCCCCAGAGATCAATCAAGCCCGTTGATTGGCCCTCCTGAGAGTCAATCAAACCCGTCCATTGGCCTCCCTGAGATTGTTTCAAGCCCATCCTTCGGACCTCCTGAAAGTCAATCAAGCCCGTTCATTGCGCCCCTTCAGATTCAATCCGGACCGTCGATTCTCCCTCCTGAAAGTCAATCCAGCCCGTGGATTGGACCTGGCGCTGCCCCTGGACCCAATCCTCTCACCAGGTCGTTATCAGACCCCGCTGAAGTCACACTAGCGTACAGTCACATCCAGGCAGGGAACATCGCTTCTCCTGGTGGCTATGGGGCGGGGAAAACGCTTACTGTGTCGCCCCAGGATGCTTTATGGGTGAACCCCTCGTTACAGTCAACCCCTATACAGTCACCCCGTGTTTCGTCTCCTGAGGGTATGTCGGACCCTCCTGGAGTTAGGCTAAAATCTCCTGGGGTTGTGTTAAAACCTCCTGGGGTTACCTGTGTTGATGATTCCGCAGGTGCTTCTCCTGCTGTATCAGGTTCACCAGGCAGTGCATTGCCTGCTCTTGCTCCGTCCCCTGATCTATTTGCTTCTTCCCCACCTGTGCCAAACCGAAGGCTGGTTCTGCAGATGGCAGAGAAGGGGAGGGAGAGGGAGCAGGGACAGGAGAGTGAGCGGGAGAGGGGGCAGGAAAGGAGCCTCCTGGACCCTGCTTTGTCCCCTGATCTATTTCCTGCTTCCCCACCTGTGCCGAACCGAAGGCTGGTGCTGCAGATGGCAGAGAGAGGGAGGGAGAGGGAGCAGGAGAAGGATAGGGAGAGGGAGAGGGAGCAGGAAATGGAGCAGGGGAGGGAGCAGGCGAGGGAGCAGGGACAGGAATGGATGAGCGGAAGGCAAGCAGATGCTGCAGCAGAGCAAGCGGATGGTTTTGACAACAATGATTATGATAATAATGATGCTAGTAAAGGGTACAAAGACGATGAAGGTGATGTGGGGACGGAACAACAGGAGGAGGAGCTGGATGGTGACTTGGCTTTGGCCATGGAACTGGCCTCAGAGGAACTCAGTAAGCCAGCATGTCATGATGTCAAGATGTCATGATGTCAACAACCTTTTCTGGCATATCTTAGAACTCTCAAGAGCCCCTTTGGCCATGGAACTGGCTTCAGAGGATCT